AAAAAAAATCACATTTCAGGAAAATGATGTGTTAAGGCTTGCTATCAGCAATTACTTTTTTGAAGAATGAAAAGAATTGTACAAATACTTCCTAAATGATAGGTTTGCTTTGAAGATAATATCCAACACTTTGAATAACAGAGAATTTTGAGATAGTTTTCTTAAGCAGTGCATGTTAGTAGCTGTATTTCTGCTACTGGAATGGTATTTTTAGTCTATAATCAAATTTCAAAGAAAAATTCCATTCAGTTATTCATTCATTCATGTGATATATAATATTTATCTAGGGCTCTCACATTGCTTTATTATGTAGATTGTTAAAAATAATTGAATAAAAACTAATAGAATAATAGTTTAAAACCTTGCTATCACACTTTAATAATAATAAGGAAAATTTGCAGTTTTGAAATCATCAACTTGAAATTTAAAGCCAAGTTTTATTACCTGCAAGTTCTTGCAGCAATTTAAAATGTCCACTACAGGAATGTAGAAAATCTACTGAATTGATAAATAAGCATAGCTTGTAATTAGCATGCCAAATTTTTGTGCATAAATGAATGCTTTCAAAGCACTGAGTATTTATTTTTCTCAGGTTAGGAGCTTTGACATTTTCCTTACAAGATTATTAAAGCATGAATTGACTTACCGTCATCCTTTTTAACTTCAGGGCGTTTGTGCAAACTATCAACAGTTCTCTTACTGGGCTTCAGTTAGTTTTGTGAATATTTTTCATTCAAAGAATATTTTATTTTCTGATGTTCCTATGAAACTTGTTGGTATGTGTTTTCACATCATTTCATGGACCTATAGATTCTCAGGAATAAAAAATTCTAAAAATCAGTAGACAGGTTGCTGTGTATTTGACTGAGGGAGAATGGCAGTAACTCAAGCGAAACAAAGGTACTGACACCAGTTAGGCAGGAAAGCAATTTCACTGGAGATATTTTAAGTTGGGTCTGCAGCGTGGACATAAGGATCCTTGGAAAAATAAGAAACTATATAAATATATCTACATATATAGATGTTATATGTATCACAAGTATAAAAGAAGGCACACTTATAACATCTGATGAAAGAAGATAAAAGAAAGGTAGATAGATTTATTGTAGGGATTTGCCTAATTTTTCAATAAAGTTTTAGACTTACATTTTTATAGCATATATTAATGATATAAAGTAATGTGTTCTGTTACATTTTCGTATGTGCACTTACTGCTCTTTATCCTGTTCGCCTTATCTTTTCTTAATCCTCACCCTTCCTCAATTTCTTTTGCTGAATCACTAATTGTTCCCCTTTTACCATCATCATTTTTTAATTCACAAATTACACTGATGGGAGAAAACATCCTTCTTATCTTTGTGCTACTGGCTTCACTTAAAAGAACCATCTGCTTTCCTTCAAGAACATAAACGCTGTTGTGTATGTACGTCTCATTTTCTTTGTCTGTTCATGTATTATCAGGTATTAGGCTGATTGTAACTCTGTTCTGGGTGGTGCTGCTATAAAACACATACAAGTGCAAATATGGTTTTACTTTTGTATGCTGGGATCTATCTGAATGAATGAAGGTCACACATACACAAAAACATATATGGACTCATGTTGGTAAAATCTAAGTCTCATGCATATGTATATGGGAGAGTCATGTTCTTAAAAATCTTTTAGAAATAGGCATGATTTATTTTGCTGAATACACACATATAACAGGCCAAAAAATCTGACACTCATGTATTTGATGGAAATGTGTATTATGTTGTGCAAAAATATAAAAGAATATCTATAATACCATTACTGGTAATAGTTTAAAAATCATCTCAGTTACCGAGACTCATATTTACACATTGAGACTTTTGTGAGGCAGGCTCCCAAGGAGCTGAATGAAAGGTCAGATGGAAAGCTGCAAGCCAGGGATGCAAGCGCATCTAAAGCTTTATTTCACTCATGTGAAAAGTTACAGTCTTTAACATTGCTGCACGAACTAGTGACTGAGAAGGGTTGAGGTGGTGGCTCTTGGAACACCAGCTACATTCTAGATCTGGATGTGTGTGCTTCTCACATAGGTGTATTCACTTTGTGAAGTCATTGAACTGTGTGGCTCTTTGTGGACTTTATATACCACTTCAATTAAAAAACAAAAAATATAGAAATGATATCAGAATGCTGAAACTCCCAGTAGGCTATCCTAACTTGTATTGCATGTGACAAAATGTTAGGATGGTGGAAATGGTAAGTAGAGAAAATTTGATGATATTAAGAGCATCAGTAATTACTGTAAATGAAGGGAAAAAATCAAGTCATTTTAACATGTTTTGAATCAGATCCTGTAAATGAGCTCAATTTCCATAAGAATAAATAGCTTGGAGCAGTAAAACAATCTGCTTAAAATGACAGACATCTATACTGACACCAGAAGTGGAAGTGAGCCCAGATTCTTTGTGCATGTGTATGTGTGTATGTGTGGGGGGTGTTGAATGTGTGCATGTGTGTGCAAATGCACTCTCACATGGATGTGGACGCCAGAGAAGTATGTCAAGTGCTCTATCATTCCCCACCTTGTCCTCTTGAAACAGTCTCTCACTGACCCGAGGGCTTACCACTTTTCAGCTAGGCTGTCCGGCAAGCAAGCTCCAGTAATCTACCTGTTTCAGTCCCCTTCGCTGCTAGGGTTACACAAATGCATTATTACAACTTTGCTTTTTGTGGGTGCTGAGGATCCAAATTCAGGTCTATATTCTTGCCCAGACATTTCCCAGCCCCAGGCCAGATTCTTAACTCCAATCTTTTTCATTGATGAGATTTTCATTTAATAAAAAAGTAGTCTTACACTAGTGGTCAATTTCCAAAGTTCTATTTGTTTTAAAACTAATATTCAATTTCACTTGACTAAGTCAAGCAACATAGAGTAATACATTGAAGACAAACGTATTAATTGCTAAAGACTAGATGTTTGTGCTGACCCTGTTTTACACTGATTGCTCTTGATAGGACATTACTACTCTACTTTATGGTCAGCCTATATGTCAGCTGTTATCGGTTTCACTAGGCCTTCATAACTTACAGGGAAAAGCTCAAAACAAACTATTCCTGCTAAATGAGGATCCAGAATTTGGAGGCTTTTTGTGTGTCCTATATTTCCCCAATCTGCCATGTACTGTCTGTGTAAATCTTTTTGTTCCTCTATTAAAATAATTTGTTAAGCTTTGTATATGTCATACAACAGTTCTTAATCAAATTTAGACCCCCCTTGCCATTCATGGCCCCAACCAAATCTCATATGATCCGCCATACATGTTAAGTCTTATCCAGTCAAGCATTTATACTCAGACACCCACAGCTCAGGGACCATTGCAGAAGAGGGGGCAGAAAGATTCCAAGAGCCAGGTCCATGAACAACAGGGAAATGGGCTTTCAGGCCATTGGAAGCTTGCTCACGTGAACTTGTGGCAATGGTACTGTCAAGCACAATCCTCGTCAATCAGACAAGGACCCAGAGTGGAGTGAGGGGAATGGATGGCAGTGACCAGCCCCAGCCTGGGAACTGTTGGGGACTCATCACTACTGGGTGAGGGAGCGTATGCATTCCTTATGATCTCTGGATAGGCTGATTAGACTCCAGTGGATGAACTTTCACCAAAGGACATCTTTTCTGTTCTTTTAAAATGAATTTGGAATAGAAAGATTTAGAACCAAAAAAGACCCTTGTTTTTCTCAGAAAGTTTCAAAAATGTTTCCAGAGATTAGACTATTAGTTTATTATGTGTATTGTTATTGTGTTTTCATTTCTATAGTATTTTAGCATTTATTTATTTATTTTTTATTTTGTGTTTGAGTGTTTTGTCTGCATGTTAAGTACACCAGCGTCATGCAATGTCCATGGAGGCCAGAAGAGGGCATTGGATCCCCTGAAATTGGCATTATAGCCAGTTGTCAAGGCCATGTAGGTGCTGGAAACTGACCCCAGTTATCTGCAAAAGCAGCTAGTGCTCTTAAATGGTGAGCTGTCTCTCCAGCCCCAGCATTCTTTTCTAAAGGACATAGGAGTTCTTGACACCTACATCAAAAAGGGTTATACATATTAAAATGATCCAAGCTATAAAGTTTTTCACATTCTGTCCAAGGACTTTAAGCAGTTGTTGGATGTGTTGCACATTACATGGGAACTCATCTCTTACCCTAATTTGAAACCACGTTTCTGATTACATGGCATCGGTACAAAAGATAGTAATGTGTGAAAACACTAAAGACATCAGTCAAAAATTTTTTTTCTCTCTCTCCCTCTCTCTCTCCCTCTCTCTCTCTCTCTAGTCATTCATGGATGACAGCACAATAATTGACAATGTCAAAGCCAAGATTTTAAAAAGTCCTCAGTTCTAGGTTCTTAAACATGGTCTCAAAAACAACTTTCTCTGTCCCTCTTCCTAGAATGTTTAGATCTAGAACCATTTGAATCTACACAACAGTGTAACAGAGAAAGAATTATAAGTAGGCATCTGATTTACTCCACTGTGACTCTATTTGATGTGTTTCCATCTTCATCCCTTTAGTTCACAGTAGTTTGCTCTGCTAACTACAAACTTAGGGTATCTAATTTCAACCCAGCTGGTTTTATCTCCAACAGGGTGTTGCAACCCCAATACTGTTGTAATTTTCAAACAAATATGTAATTATTTGTTGCAGGAGGACCTCTGGTTCTCCATCACCCACTGTATTATCCTAATGCTGCTATCCCCCAGTTGTGACAATCACATTGACAGGTGTCAATAGGGCTAGCGTGGGAACAAAAATTTTCCCCAGGATGAGAACTGTTGTTCTACAAAATGAAAATTAACTAGAGAACTACAGAGGAAGAAGAAAGACCACATTTCTGATCAGCTTACATAAGATGTAAGCTCTCCAGGAGGACCTTTATGCTTAGATATTTGGACAGATTTTCCTGTAGTAAGAGGTAGAAGCTTCAGAACCACACCCGGTGTTTTATTCTGGATCTCTAGCAGTTGGTTTCACTCAACTTTGCTCTTCTTTTGGAGGTCAACTCTTAATAGTTGGAGCTTCTTTTGGATCTCAGTCAGAATACCAATTTTCTGCTCCAAAATGAACAGTGATTGGGCAATGCAAAAATCCACATCACAGGTTACTCCATCAGCAGTCTCCTGGACGGTCTCCCACCACTGGCTGGGTTCCTTCCACAAAACTGCTGTGTCCTTTGTTAATGTCGTGGGTAATGTTGGAATTTCTTCACTTTGTTTCTTTTCCTGGTTCTGTGAACAGGGTATCTGAATAATCTCTTCCCTCTGAACTGACATTTCTGAATTATTAATCTCCTTTTCTAACATTAGGGTTACTTCTGGGCCAACTGGAGAGAGGCACCGATGGTAGGGCCTTACTTCTGGAGCTAATTCTTTTACTCTGTTTGCATATCTTAAAGTATTGAGAGTGTTTTCACAAGAGGTCATCCCTGGTGAGATAGTAGCAATCATGCAAGTGGAAGAGTTCTGACCTATGAAGGCCTCCCGGAGCACCTGCGTGAGTTTGCTGGCTCTAAATGGGGTGTGAGACTTGTTTTTACCTAAAGCCCGAATACATTCTTTTAGGGCTAGCAGACTCTTATTAATCTCTGCCCCTTCCAGCTGCCTCTTTCGAGTGACCTTGGCAGTATCTGCACCCCTTTCATTCCCAGCCAAGTCAACGAGGGAAAACTTGCCGTGCAGATTCCCCCTAGACCTGAGGATGAGCTGGAACACCGCGTGGCTCCTGGATGAGTGGGCATTGACAGAGGTCTGGCCGGAAGTCCGACAACTGTTTCCGAGTTCCATGAGGTTCAGCACTTCCTCCACACAGCACACCTCTTGCTCCTGCAGCCCGACCACTTGTATTTGCTGGTTACCATCCTCCAGGACTTGCAGTTTCTTCTTCCAGTTTAACAGATCGTACACCTTACCACCATAAATCTCAAAAAATGTCCCATAGACTTTGAGTTCCAACTTCTCATAAGTGGAGTTTCTGAGTAGAAGAAAGACATCTTGAGCCACCAAGGCATAAATGCCTTTGGAACAATCTTGGCTCCTTTTGGAAAAGGTGCCACCCATGGTGTGGGTCTTCCCACTGCCAGTCTGCCCATAGGCAAAACAAGTAGCCATGCCCTTGCGGAAGATGGACTCCACCAGAGGTTGGGCGGTGAACTTGTACACTAACTCGTTGGAGGCTGTGTCATCGAAGGCGTGATCAAAACAGAAGGTCCGGTTTTCCAGGTAGCGGGTCAGGTCTACCTTTTGCTTGGACTCGTGCACCATGACCACGTTGTGTGAGGGGATGGTGATAATGTCTAGGTCCTTCATGGTGGTCTCTCGCTGGTTAAGAGGCCGCTTCCTCACACACACGCAGATCCGGTGGTCTTCCAGGGCCTCCAAGCTGCACATGTTGCTTCTGTCCAGATGCCTGCGGTACTCGTCAATCATGCGCATTGTCTCGTAGTTGGGGTTTCCTGTGTTGATGTCAAGCGCTCGTTTGGCTAGAATATCCAGCTGCAGGTGCCTGCGCTTCTCTCTCTGCTTCTGCAGTTTTTCGATCTCCCGGAGGCAGGGAGACTTTTTCCGCTTCATCAGAAAAGGGTTGCTGGGGATCACAAGGGCCTGGCTGTCCCCTGAGGGTGTCTCATTTCTCTGGGGGATAACTTCAATCCACTTGGTGGCTGTCCGCTGTTCCCCGATGGAGACAGTGGGCGTTAGAGACACAAGGCGCAGAGGTCTGTGGGGCCTTTGGTGTTCAACAGAGGCCACAGCTGGATTCAGCCGGAACACAGTCTCCAGATCCATCTTCTTGCCTTTTTTGACTCCTTTCTCAACCCACTCCACTGTGACCCAAGAGTTTTCTGTGTTGATCTCTGTGACCACAGCCAGGTGGATCCGTTTGTCACTGCGCTGGATCGCCACACAGATGCCCACCTGAAATTCCGTGAAGGGCGATTTCAAAGGTTTCAGGGGTGAGAGGTGTGGGGCTAGAGGAATGTGGAACTGGCTGGCCATGGTGAGAGGTGGAGGCACCAGGGCTCGCTTCCGGAGCCTCTTGGTGTTGGCACAGCAGGACCTGAGCCGAAGCCAGCCGGAATACCCAGAGCTTGAATACCCAGGGTATGGTTTGCTTCAGCCTTTGTGAGCCAAGCGCCAGGGTGCCTGCCCACATCACAAAGGGATGCTGAGAAGACGTAGAAGACACAGAACTGAAAGCCTGTTGGTGAAAGGTGGGAGGCAGCCACCTGTTCCTGAACTGAAACAGAGATTCTTCTGTGCCTGTGAGCATGGATGGATCTGAGGAGGGTGTGACATGTTTTCTCCCATCTGGGCTGGAAAAGGCCAGAAACAGAGAAATTGTAGGAATTGTGGTTGTTGGTATTTGTAGCTTCATGGTTACTCGGCATCCGTTTTGTAAATATTCATTGTCCCTGCAGCCCTAACTTGGTATCTCAAAGCCCTGTACTTCAGTTTAAACACAGCTGTGAAATTCCCTTAAACTTCAATTCTCCAGGGATGAGAGGGACCAGATGAAGATAGAGAAGTTTACAAAACCCAGGTGTTGGAGAAACATGCAGGGAGATGTGGCTGCCCCATCTCCTTCTGTGCTTGTCTAACACTGAAAATTTGAAGTTTTTCCAGTTTAATGGACTTGCTCATTACAAAATCAGAATGAGTGGAATGGAGCTGTAATTTAACACAGAACTTCCTTCAGTATTGAATCTGGGCTTGTAAACACAAGACGTTTATCACAGTCCACATGGTTCTGACAGTTACAAAGTGAGTTTTGTTCTGCTCCCAGTCACCACCATGCATGAGATGAGTTCAGTAATTACAATCCCAAACTCCTTCAGTAATTACACTTCTGGCCTCATTATCTCTAACTTGAAGAGAAAGGAGAGACATTGGAGGAAAGAAGTAATTCATCCCACCTTAAAAAGTGTGTGTGTGTATGTGTGTGTGTGTGTGTGTGTGTGTGTGTGTGTGTGTGTGATGTACTTTAGAAGTTGCTAAGGATGGAGTAGAGTGGGAAGGCAGCTAAGATCATCTGAGGCGAAAATATATATGGTCAAGATTGTAATGTTTTCTACAGGATGACTTCCTTTCAAAACAAAATAATCACTTTCCATCTAGACTAAGATGAGGATGAAGATGACACCTTGTGCTCTGTCCCCTGCCTCCCCATGCCGCTTTGTCTATTGGGTTGTGCATTTAGTTATAATTGTACTTCTAACTCTGAGGAAACATGTAGTAGCATGGTGTCCTTACAGCTTTCTCTAGGATTAAGGGCCACTATGGAAATAAAATCTATTATAAACTCATGTTCTTATGTTCTTCTGCAGTAAATTTTGTAAAGCTTAGGTTGCTTGATAAGTTGGGTAAATATCCAATGTTTATTTTGGGTGACAGGTGATGGTGTTGAACAGCAATGGAGAGGAGACAATGGACTTCATGTAACTGTCATTTTTATTAGTATTTTAATTGCCCATATTATCAATATTTAATCTTATGCTTTGTCATTTATTATTTTAATGGCATTATATAAATGTTCTTATTCCCTCTATTTATCATTATCCTTTTTTTTTTTTTTTTTACCCTAAGGTAGGGTATCATGTAGCCCAAGTTCCTCAAAGTGGATATTTGTCTGAGAATGACCATGAACTTCTTATCTTCCTGCCTCATTTTCAAGAGCTGAGATTGTAGGTGTGTGCCACCAAACCAGGAATTATGTAGTACTTTGGATCCTCTGAGGGTTTCAAGAATGCTAAGTGAGCACTCTACCAACTGAGCTACATCCCTAGACCTAATAGCCTTTTCTCAACATTTATTTTTCAAAAACAAGGTCTTACCAACAATGAGTCAAGGAAGGGGAGGTGCTCGAGTGTCCTGCCCTTTACTTTTGAACTATTGGCCATAGATAGATTCTGGGAGAGGGAGAATCACTGTATTTAGTTCTGTTTCTTCTGTTAAATCCATTTTCCAAAAGATAACTCCAAACTGACAATCACACAGATGGTCCTGATTAATTTTGATGGGCCACAAAACATATTGAACAGACATGACTCCAGAGAGAGATCTGTGGGAAAAGGGGAAGGATATACAGGAAAGAGAGAGAAATAGGAATTGAGAGTGGTCTGTATGCAAAGTGTATGCATGCATAAATATGAAATTTTAAGAAAAGAATCATTTAATTAAAATTAGATAACTTAGTTCTTGCTCAAAGTTATGCAGACCCCAACTCTTCCATGTGACTTGTAAGTTGTATACCTAGGCATGTGTCTTAGCTAAACAATACAGGGCCTTGGCTGTTACTCCAAAATCAGAAATTAAAATGTCCTTTTGAGTCCTTTTGAGACTTTTTATCTCTAGCATGCCAACAAAGATTTTCCCATATTTATTTCTGGGTTTGTCTCTCTCTCAATTCTAGTCCCATTTGGTTTACCTAAGATATCTCATGCATTCCCTTGGTGTGCTAGATAGCTTTAGTGTCAACTTGACACACCTGGGTTGAGGGAGCCTCAATTGAGGAATTGCCTCCATTGGACTGGCCTGTGGCCATGTCTGTGGGACATTTTCTTGATTGCTGAGTGATGTGCGAGGGCCCAGCCCACTGTGGGTGGTGCCACCCCTGGGCAGGTGGGTCTGTGTTGCATAAGAAACAGGCTGAGCAGGAGCCAGAGGAGCAAGTCAGTAAGCAGCAATCCTCCATGGCCTGTGCTCCAGCTCCTGCCTCCAGGTTCCTGCCCTGAAGTCTCTACCTTCGGCTCCCTGATGAACTGTGATCCAGGAGATGTAAGCTGAATAAACCCTTTCCTCCCCAAGTTGGTAGTGGATGGAGTGTTTTGTCATGGCGATGGAGAAACAAACTAGAACACTTGGTTTAATTTCATATATACCATATAGAGGTGATAAACAGACTCCTGATCCTGCATCTGTAGACACCCACAGGAATTTCAAAGTCACCAATCCAAAGTGTGGTTTATTTTCTTCCTGACCCCTGCATGCATGTGTGGAAGCCAGAGCTTGGTGTTGGAGCATCTTTGCCTTCTTTAGTCACTCATTACCTAATGTTTTTGAGACAAGATCTCTCATTGAACTTGGAGCTCACTGGCTAGGTAGAATGGGCAGTGAGACTCTGGGGTCTGCCCATCTCATGTGCCATCATGCCTGGCTTTTATGTGGGTACTGGGACTTGAATTCAGGTCCTCAAGCTTGGGAAGCAAGTACTTTATCCATAGAGCCATCTTTACAGCTCCCTGACAAAATCTTTTGAGTACTACTGCTTGAACTCTGCATTTTTTGTCTTTATTTTCCTGAAATGCTTAATACCCCTCTCAAATATCAGTACTGGTCAACAGTTTTCTCTGGCACTGTTGATGCTAGCCAGGTCCAACAGCATTAGATCCAGAGCATGATTCTGAAGCAATTTTCTTTTACTGTTTGGATTTGGCTGATCAGAACAACACAAAAGACTAATTTTCAATGCTGAATAAGAAAACTAGAATTTTCTGGTGACTAGAACAATAACCTCTTTATAAAGAGTTGTTTGGGTGGTTTTACAATTTTGATACTCTGGAATTTAATTTGTAGCAATGCTTTTTTATCTCTGGTGACATAAAATTTAGAATTCAAAACCATCTGCATAACTCTCTCTAATGTGATTTATTTTGAGGGAATAATTCATCTAAGAAAACACTGTAAATCTTAAGTAATGAGATAAAAGCAGCATTTGTCACGGTGTGAAATACCGATAAAGTTATGGTATCAACTATGGCAGAGTCCTAAATACTCATTTGGTAGATAAACAGTTCATACGGAGTACAGAGACTAAGACCAACACTTCATGTGTTTGAAGGCGTCTAACAAAGCAGTAAGTACCTATGAAGTCCTTTCATGAACTATTTTCCAGTCATAGAAATCCTGCCAATAAAGAGCTTGCCATTTCTGATGGTAATTGCCAACTCAACAGAAAGAATCCTCTGGGAGAAAGGCCTCTGGGAATGCCTATAGAGCATTATCTTGATTATGTTAATTGATATGGGAAGAGCCACCTTAATTGTGGGTAGGACCATTCCCTAAGCAGGGGATCCTGGACAGTATAAGGTGAACAAAAAGGAGCTGAGGACCAGCAGGCATGAGTTCCTTGCTCCCTATTTCTGGTGATGGATATGATTTATGAGCTGCTTCAGACTCCTGCCCCCTTGACTTCTCTCCCATGATGGGACATAGCCTTGAACTGTGATGCAAAGTAAGTCCTATCTCCCTTAAGTTGTTTTTGTCAGGGTACTTTATCACAGCAACAGGAAAAGAAACCAGGATAGCACTCATCTGTGTTGTTTTTGCTAAATCCATGCCTCAACAAACATTGATATCTTTAGATAAATAGTAGATCCTATTTATTTCAAATTCTCGTTTTTCTGAGCCTAAGTATCAGCTATAGCCCCACCAGAGAGAGTGGAATGGGGAGAATAAGTAGAAGAAATGAGATTGTAATTTTCATTTATTAATTACAAACATTCCCAGTTGAAGCTTGTCAAAGTTGTTTTATAGGAGAGAATATGATTTCTAGACTCATTTTACATATGAATCTCCCAGGACAAATTCATCAAGTGGCACTGTTTTAATGGACAGCTGGCAGCTGTTGGGTATGTTTGATCACCTTGGGGGTCTAGTACATAGGAATGCAGACTTAAGCTGATTAGTTCTTCCAAGGAGTTCAGCAGACTTCCCCAAATCTCTTTGAACTAGAACAAATCATTTCCAATTCTTAATTATTTTTCCTTTAAAGAACTGAGAGGTACATTGCTAAATTTACCTGAGGATAACTGTAGGGTTCCTATAGATCTGTTAATTATGTAACCTCATCCATAAATTTATCAAAGATGATAAAGCTAGCAGTTGTTAGTGTTTTGCTGTAAAACTACTCATGCAGGTCATCTCATAGCTTTCAAGTTCATTTACCATGCTGAGGGAAAGGCTAAGTTTTATTTATATTCTTCATACCAGTGTTGTAT